GAGGGAAATTAACAGGAGATGACTGATAACTGACATTCATTAAACATGGCATGTGGAACTAGAACAGTGTACCCCAGTGAGAGAAATAAAGGGTTCAGTTGGACATTCCAACCACCTGGAGAAGGTCGGAGCATACAACGGCCGAAACATTGTAATAAATATGGCGAAAAAGATGAGGACAATAGTCCAAATAATGTAAATAATGTACATAATACCTCATCTCAGAAATATAGACAGATACTGAAGGGCCGAAACATTGTAATAAATATGGCGACAAAGATGAGGACAATAGTCCGAATAATGTACATAATACCTCATCTCAGAAATATAGACAGGTACTGAAGGGCCGAAACGTTGTAATAAATATGGCAACAAAGATGAGGACAATAGTCCGAATAATGTAAATAATGTACATAATACCTCATCTCAGAAATATAGACAGATACTGAAGGGCCGAAACGTTGTAATAAATATGGCGACAAAGATGAGGTCAATAGTCCGAATAATGTAAATAATGTTCATAATAACTCATCTCAGAAATATAGAGAGATACCGGAGATGTAAGTTCAGACAATTACAGCGGGTGGAGTATGACATTCCATCCCAGCTCTACCAACTTCTGCCGAACCCGCCATTGTTCAAATAGATGATGAGAGACTTTAGACTGGCCAGTCACGGACACTTCTCATCGATCACCGTCTTCAATCGGTCCATTTAGGTACACGACTTTTCTGAACCCAACGCCTGTTGTTACAGAACGAGCATCGTTATAAACAACGCTTTTCAAATACTATAAGCAGCACTTTTGTTGGGAGACAGACCGGATTTTAGATAGATTAAAAGTGGCTGATTCTGTTTTCGCACCTGAACTAGTTTCGCTTTACATTGTTGTAAACAATCCATTCACATCTTTACAAGTGCATAAAATAACATTAAAAGAGCATAGAAAGAGCATAGGAAAGGCATAAGAAAGGGCTTAAAACGAGCATAGGAAGGACATTGAAATAGGACATAAAATAGCATAGGAAGGGCATGAAAAAGTGTATGAAAAGAGCATAGGAAGGGAATTAAAAAGAGCATAGGAAAGGCATAAAAAGAGCATAAAACGACCATAGGAAGGGCATAAGAAACAGCCTAAAAAGAGTATAGAAGGGGGTAAAAACAGGATAAAATGGCATAAAGGACATAAAATAGCATAAAAAGCATAGGAAAGGCATGGAAAAGAGCATAAAAAGAGCATAGGAAGGGCATAAAAAGCATAAAAGAGCATAAAATCCATAGGAAGGGCATGGAAAAGAGAAGAAAATAAGTATAAAAAGAACATAGGAAGGGCATAAAAAAGAGCATGGGAAGAGCATAAAAAGGGCATAAAATAGCATAAATAGAGAATAAGATAGCATAAAAAGCATAGGGATATCATGGAAAAGAGCATAAAAAGAGCATAAGAAGGGCATAGTAAGGGCAGAAAAAGGACATAAAAACTCATAGGAAAGGCATAAAAGGAACATAAAAAGAGTATAGGAAGTGCTTAAGAAAGGTCTTAAAATGAGAATAGGAAAGACATAAAAAAAGAATATAAAATGAGCATAGGAAGGTCCTAATAGAACATAGAGGGGCATAAAAAGAGCATAGAAAAAGCATAGAAAAGTGTATAAAATAGCATAAAACAAGTATTAAAAAGTGAATAAAGGAAAAATATATGTTCTGTTTATTGAAACACGTTATCTTGGTAAAAAGAAATATCCTTTTGTCACAACGTTTTCTGCTTCCAAAGAACATCAAAGGTCGAAAATGCATATTATTCTCCTATTTTCAATTTTTAACGCCCCTTCAAATTTCTAAATCTACACAAGAATCATCGGAATATCAACTTTCAAAATATGTATATACACCCTAAATTCCAGTCACGTGTGTAACGAAATTACGTGTTTATCGCCCTTTGTCCTTCCAACCCAATAATTTTCTCATGAATGGATCTTTTATTAAAGCTAATATTTTATTTAGCAAGGGATCAATTCAAATCCCCGCGCCTGTTTTCCTCGTCCTTTGTGTATGATTATCTACTTGTTTGTGCTTGCTAGTGTGTCTATTTGTGTGGGCGCTTGCAACTATGTGCAAGAGTAGCTCTCTTCATGCGTGAGTGTGTAGGTATGCTTGAATGTTTGTGTTTATTTGAACGTACATTTGTGTTATTGAATTTCTGTTCGTCGTTTGAATTATTTTCCAATAACTGGGCATATGATGGAATTTCAACCGAAATTTAAAACGAACTTTGGCAAATAGGGTTTCAAATTTCAGATGTGACTACCTGTGTTCCGCTTGTAAAGGCATGAAAAAGCACCCTTGCTTTCTTTCATATCACCGATGCTATTAGAGTTGTCAGAAAATAAGTATAAGTGACTGGCGTAAATGGTAATCGTAATAGTGACCGTTTCCTTATAAGGAAACATTTGACATTCATAGATCGAGCAGCCAGAACTACTGTCGATTGGAATTTATAAAAACTCTCCCTTAAAAATATTTTCCCGGAAAATATTTAATGTAATTTCAAGTTAATGCTAAAGGAACACATGTAGCATGGAAATTATTGAAAACTTTAATTATATACATTGAAGTTCAGCGTGTTGACATTAATGTTAAAACTTGACATAAAAATCAGCAAATACCGTGATTACCCATGTATAATACGCATTTAAAAATAATAAGCAAAATAAGGGGTGCATATTATGCACAGTTACAAAAAAAAATCTTTAAAAAATTGCAGTTTTATAGGTCGATTTTAGTTACGAAATGACTACCACAAACATACGACAATTTGACACAAACATTCGGCGATTGCGACGCCATAAGTATGTCAGATACAATCATATGTACCTAACGATACTTACAAATGTAAAATAAAATAAGAATTATCATCAAACTAAATTAGAATAATATTATTCTATGTTTAAAACCATCTTTAATAAGAGTAGGAAACGATAGCCGTAATGAAATTGGAGAGGTACAATTTATAGTGTTTGATTTCCAAAAATGGCATGCGCATTATGTGCGAGTAAAAGCATTTTCCCACGCTTTCAGCATAATTTTAGGGGTGCGTGTTATGGCTTAAGGCGTATTATAAATGAGGAATTACGGTACTTACTCTTAAATCTTACAAAAATGTCAGTTAACACAACATGTTACGAATATAAAACCCGTTGTTGGGTAGTCGATGTAAGAGTGTAGTTGCTGGCCGTTAGTATCCGTGTATACCTGACTACTAGGGTGGCTAGACAATTCCTATTGCAGACAACTGCTCAGGCACATTTGTGTTTGTTTAGCACCCACAGAGACAACCTGTGGTTTATACTGCAGACATGATGAGCGGGCCTTAGTTACAGTTTCTGGGGGATAGCGTATTATGTAGAGTGATTAACAGCCTGAAGAAGGTCAGAACACTCAAACCCTCAGTCACGATGACTTGTGAGATACAGAGTGTATTGAAATCAACAGGTTCTTGAGAGCTGATCTATTCTCTGACCAAGTTCGTACAGCTCACTGGAGGTGGAACTGGATTGTAAAATTCATTGGCTCCAAAGACCAAGAGCAATGCCCGAGTATTTCCCAGTTATAACTATCAGTTATATTTTCAATGCGGTTCCTTGCCTTGAAAGCATATTGGGACTCACTCAGTCCATACCTGGAGCAGAAAAATGGATTATTGCTGCTATATCTGGGCTGGAGCTGCTCAATCCTCATTTTTCATCCTTGACAGAGTTAAAAAAAACATTTATGTGGCTTTGTTGGCAATGAAACATTTTTCAAATTTACAGCTTCTTTCCCACAAAAGAAGAATGACATTCTTCCCATTTCTCTATCGCTATTTCCATGGCAAATGTTTCACCAGTTCAGACCAGACCCCACATCCACAGAGTCAAACCATTCTCATTTCCATCATATTCTATTAGTAAGAAGTAAATTCCACCCAGTCTTTTTTTTTTCGAGAATCGCTACTTTATGTCAGTAGAATATGCTTCCCTGGTAACTATAATATTAACTTCTTTAAGTCAACCATTATCAATTCTACATATCCTCATAATCTACACTTAGTTCCTCTACTTATGTCAATACAACAACCTAACACATTGCTTTGACATTCTGAGTTGACACCGAGTTCAACAATTACTTTCGTATCTCTCAGTACTTACAGGGGTTAACATTCCTGTTATTTCCTGGCGTGAATCACTACAAAGGAAAGAAAATTGTGGAGAGCCATTATTGTGTGAATCCAGACGGAACATGGAAACTAAAAGTTCTTTCTCAAATTTGAGAAAATATTAGATAAAAATCTAAAATGAAATTATACCATGAGTATAAACGGTTCGCTAGCACGATGCGAAGAATTCAATAATTTTAAATATAAACGACATCTATGGCGTGAAGATAACCAAATATTGACATCCATTTTTCTATAGATTGCTTCTGAGGAGACGATTTTAATTGCTGTTGTCGTCCTGTTTTAATAAACTCACACATAAAATAAAAAAGAGGTCCCGTTTTGCGTCTTCAGGCCAAAAAATATCCATTTTATTTTCTTATTGAACTAGAATAATATGGCGCCATTTCTTTTGACATGTATCTAATTTCTCTTGCTTCTTGTATTTTTGTCCATCATTCTATTAATTGCGCTAACATTTGCCTGATATTGCAAGCCATTAAACGTTATTCTAAAGAAAGCTTTGAAATGTAGGTTTCTTGCTAAAACTGCCTTATTATATATTCGATGAGATCCTAATTTTGTTATATCAAAAAATATAATTCAATTTAAGCTGTTGCCCATTGAGGGGGATTTTGACGATCATATTGGAAAGTACTTCTATATAACAGTTTCAGAGTGCTTAATAGCGAAAGGAATGGAGTAATGGACAGCGGAGTCGAGTTCAAATTCCAGTTAATTTCCTTACACTCACTTACTTGCAAATACACTTGGATTTGTTTTGTTTTACGGCATATCAACCTCAATGGGTTATTTAATGCCGACAAGATTTTTATTGCTGCTAATCTATCTATCTATCTATCTATCTATCTATCTATCTATCTATCTATCTATCTATCTATTTCAGTATATATTGGTTTAGTTTGGTTTGTTTTACGGCATATCAACCTCAATGGATTATTTAATGCCGACAAGATTTTTATTGCTGATAATATTTTTCGAAAATGTATTGCTGGTAAAATGTTTTCTTTCAAAAATGTATTGCCGGTAAAATTATTTTTCTTCACAAATATATTGCTGGTAATATTTTTTTTCTTCCCAAATGTATTGCTGGTGATTTTTTTTTTTTTCATCAAAAATGTATTGCTGTCAATAATGCTTTTTTTTGCTGACATCAAAACCTATTTTTACATAGTGTTTTGACCCCAGCTTGGGGGTTAACTATTTGCCTATATTTGGGACTCTAACAGGTGCTACCACCCCGGGTTGTACATTTATGGGGGTCCTGCTGCTGAGAATACACCCCAAACATTGATTTTTTAAATTGTATTTATCAGCGCCTTTGGTAACCACAGGACTATTTGTTTCACCGGTCGTACTCCAAGCTTAAGATCAAGAAAAATGAAAATAAAGAAAATAAAATATTGTTAGACTCTTCTTAGCCACTTATTTAAATAGATTATTTAGATTATTCGGACTACTGTCCTCATCTTTGTCACCATATTTATTACAAAGTTTCGACCGTTTTACACTCCGGCCTTCTTCAGGTGGTCGGAATATCTAACTGAATCCTTTATTCCTCAAGGACACATGACACAGTGGATAAAGGCGTTAGTTAGATCCAATGACAGGACCCAAAGAGTGTGAGTTCAATACCCGGCAGTGGAGAACTTTCAGAGGGAAATTAACAGGAGATAACTGATAACTGATATCCATTAAAACATGTCACGTGGAACTAGAACAGTCTACCCCAGTGAGTGAAATAAAGGGTTCAGTTCAACATTCTAACCACATGAAGAAGGCCGGAGCGTACAACGACCGAAACGTTGTAATAAATATGACGACAAAGATGAGGACAATAGTCCGAATAATGTAAATAATTTACATGATACCTTATCTCAGAATTATAGACAGTTATTTAAGTAGATCTTCGAAAAATGAAAATAAGAAATAGTAAAATTTAATAGGAAAAATTGAATACATGGGAATTAGGCTAAATACAAACTGATCAAAAGTGTAAGACACTCCCTAAAAGAGGTCCTAAACAGAGTAGGAAATGCTCAACAAGACGCCTCAGTCTGGTAATATTTTTTTTGCAAAAAAGGACTGCTGGCAATTTTTTTAAAAAGAATGTATTGCTGGTAATAATTTTTTTTTCAAATATTTATTATTGGTGATAATTTTCTTTATTAAATGTTAAAAAAAAATTAATTTTAATTTTTCGTTTTCTTTTCCAATGCCTACTATTTTTAATTTCATTGAAAGACACATTTTTTTCTTTATTTTCCTTAAGATTTTGGCCAGCAGTGTATATTTATTGTGACCAGTTTAAAGTATGTTATAATGTTGGAAATCTCTTCCGTTAATAAACCAATAATTTACCATTTCTATAGATTTCCAGTAAGAAAACGAATTTACCTCGTACCGTAGTCATATTTTTATAAACCCAAACACACCCCCTGGCATCGTAGCAGCATTATCGCCTTGTTTGGGGGTAAAAGGAAAAAATGCCAACAGAGCAAAAGGGCGCCAGAAACACGTTCGTTCTGTGACTAATACATTTTTTATATATTTTTTATTTATTTTAAGGTAAAAAAAAAATAGCGCGCCGGTATTATTTGCTTGAGGAGCTGAAGACGTCGAGCTGATTTCATACCGGAGTCAAAAGAAATGAAATCAGGAAAAAAAAAATTACCGTCCGATTTGATTGATTTATTTCCAAATCTATTTTTCTTCATCTTGATTTTTTTTTTCTTTTTTTCTATACTTTCTTCGTTTTGTTGACCCAAACGATGAAATGGCAACCGATAGCTGGGCGGAGTTTTCTCGGGGGCAAGAAAGGTTTTATTCGTCGTCATCTGGTGAAATTTCCGGCCTTTTAGATAAATTTGGCACCATTTCGTAATTTACGCATGCGCATTGGCATATTACTGAATTGATACACACGGGTGCAAATTAGAAATTATATAAATGAATACGTATAAAGCAAGATTTTCAGTTTGTTCTTTAATACGAGGTTTTTTTTTTAATATTTGGTCATGTTTTGATAAATAGGCAGAGCCAAAAATGCCGCAGCACTACTGACGTAAACGGAAATTATAAAATACAATTGCATCTCCTCTAACATTATTTACATATATGTATATATATATATATATATATATATATATATATATATATATATATATATATATATATATATATATATATATATATATATGATAGATAGATAGATTACAATGAATCATTCATACAAAAAGAAGATTAATAAAGTTAAAGATATAAAATGGTGACATCCCTTGGCTAACAAAATTTTAAAGATATATTAACCAACAAATCACTCGATGAATGTTATGTTCCTTGTTTTTTTTAAAATTATAAGCTGTATAAGGTCTTTCTTTAATACGCAAGTACTTTCGACTGTACATTCAGTCATCTTAAGGCATGGAAATTATTTTGCTTTTGGTGAAGTTCAGGTAACATCCCAGACGAAAAATATGATGTGAAAGATGACTGAATGTACAGTCGAAAGTACTTCCATATTAAAGACAGAGATTTTACACCTTACAAACTTTGTTAGCGAAGGGATTTCACCATTTTATATCATTAACTTTACTAAGCTACTCTTTGTATAAATGATTCATTGGAATATAAATTACACAGTTCAATTCCAATAACCAAAAATACTATTCTTAAAAATGTGCTCAATATAGAGATCAAATATAATTTATTCGGAAATTATCACATAAACATGCTATAACATCACTACAAAAATAACCATTTTGTTTCAATACCTCTCATGTCTTATCAAGGCATTCTTATCAAAATGGCTATTTTTGTAGTGATTTTATAACATGTTTATGTTATAATTTTCGAATAAATTACAGACACACACACACATATATATAAAGGGGCACAGAGATAGAGAGAGAGAGAGAGAGGGAGGCGATGTGTAAATTGTCGGCAATTTATATCTTTAATTTCACACATGAGGGTTTTTTGTATTTGATTTTGTAGTGTGCAGTATAGTAAGGGTCAGATGAACGCCTTCTATGAGAATAACCGCACAAAAACGCAATTCACTCCGCCAGAAATTTAGAAACTAGATGCTCTACTGCTTGGCATTCGCACCGGAAGCTCCAGTACAAACATTTCAGTGTGCTTGGTTATTCATCTGAGGGCAGTGAAGAGGATTTGGAAAGATTCGAAAAGATTTATATGTATCTAATGGTGATTACGAAGGTATGGCAGCTCGGAAAACACACTCTGATCGTTCTGATAAGAAATCCAGCATTTGTTGGTGAGGGCCTCAGACTCAAAACGCAAGCCTACATCAAGTGAGATGAGGAGGTAATGCAGCCCTGGGTCAAGAGTGTGTCTGCTGGAAGACCCTATGCCTGGCAACAGGACTCTGCCACACAAGCAGGAGAACCCAGTCATACATGTCAGACAATATCTGCGACCACATCATCCCTTATCTCTGGCCACCTAACTCCGCAGGCTCAAACCCCCTTGATTATTATGTGTGGGGCACAGTTGAGCAAGAGATCAACAAAACTTCTTGTAACACAAAAGAAAAACTGAAGTCAAGGTTTATGACAGCATTCACGATCTTAAACAAGGAGACCACCCAGAAGAGTTGCAGGAGATTCCGAAGGCCGTGATTGAAGCCAATGACGATGTTACTGAATAAATTTAATATTTCGCATTTGAATATATGTTTGTATAATTTTGAATATATGTATTTGAAAATAAATGTGTAATTTTTAAAAATATACCTGTTAAAAGGAGATGTCAGTGTTATTTTCATTTTTGTGTAATTTAGACGAAAATTTATCCATCTGACCATATATATATATATATATATATATATATATATATATATATATATATGTATATATATATATAGGCAAATTTTTCATTTATGCATGTTTCATTAAATAATATAGACAAGTTTTGTCTATTTATTTTAAGTTAAGTTCCTTTCATATTGTCTGATAAGCTTAATAACATTATCATTGAAAGACGAAAGAAAAACACCATATTGATACATGTTTAAATCCAATCTAAGCTTTCGGCTTACATAAGCCATTATCAAAGATGACAATTTAAATAAATCAAACAACACACAGACGAAAGCATAATGATAGTGCGCCCTTGCTGCTTTCACGGCGCTTGACTCTACATTTAAATAATAACTCTAACAATTTTAGGCATTTAAAACAACATGCCTGCCCGAGTACTCAATTCCGGAAAATCCTTGTTGACAACACAACTATACTTGAACATAAAAACAATAAACAAAAATGAAAAATTCTTGAAGCTATATACATAAAACAGTTCAAACCTAACCTGAACAAAATAAACTATGAAATCTTCACAAATATTCTTAAATGCCTATAATTTATAACAGAAGCCATTGATTTATACCAAAGGCTTCCCATACTTAATACTTCTCATTTTTCACTCTCGCATAGTCATGTGTGACGTCACGAGCTGCAACGCGTTTTCCCGTCCGTGTCTCGTATACACGAGTTTGTAGTTACTTTGAAATTTTTCAAGCAGCAAGGGCGGACTATCATAGTCTGTGTGTTGTTTCATTTATTGAAATTGTCATCTTTGATAATGGCTTATTACACTTAAAAATGAACACAGTCTGAGACACTTCCCGAGTTTTACGCTCTCGCAATATTCAGATGACTAACTAAGACTTGGACAGCATCCTTTCATTTAAATGTTTCGCTGAAGATGGCAGACAAGAAAAAATCAATTATTTTTTTTAATTAGTATTTACAGCTTTCTTAAATTTCTAATTTTTGCATTACCCAACTCCAAACCAAAGGAAAAAATGTAGGAATGCTGGAAGAATTAAATGAAAAATTAAACAAATTTTCATTATCTGACAT